CAAAATCGACTATTTACCAACACTGGAGGTCAATCAACTTGCTGAGTTATAAGCGTACAAAGTCTGTGAGGAGACTAATTGGAAAGTTATTTTTCATCCAGACCTCAATAAATATTAACACAATTAATTTTTTTCCGAAAATAAAGCAATAAAGCTTTCTTGAAGGTAATCCTGATATAAGCCAGGTTATTAGGTCAGTTACACTGAGAAATCTTCTTTGGTGCTTTAAGAAAGAAAATCCTGACAAAAAATATTTTTCTTCTATTCTGTATCGAAAAAAAACAGATACGTATTTTTTTATTTTTGTTCAATTTGTCCAAATTTTCGAGTTATGAATTTTCGAAATTTTGGACTTGTAATTTTAGATCATACACCTATTCAGTAGCTCATAATTCCGAAAATATTGAGTTTAGGAAAAAGTTGTCAAAGAATGAAAGTTTTAGTTTTCTTTCCGACCTCGTGCAAATTGTTTCCCTCGCTTCGCTCAAAGCAGCAAACTTTGTACTCGTCGGAAAACAGCTTCTTTCTGTACTTGTTGCACAATATACTATTCCACCTAATAAAATATTGCAATATTTATAAAAATTATTAAAAGAAGTAATAAAATAAGTAAAAAAGTTGTAAAAATAAAACTAAAAATAATATTGATAATATAGCCTTACCCCCTCCCCCCAACTCTATCTCTATATCAATGAGGGAAAATAGAAAAAAAATATAGCATTTTCCTCTTCTCTTCTGTGCAAGAAAATAATAAAAATAATATGAAAGTTGAAAAAATTGAAACTATGAATAATTCCAGGAAAATTTTGAATAATAATAATAATAAGAGATAACAATAATTGATAATAAAAGTACAAAAAAATAAACAAAAAATAAATAATTTAAAATGGTTAAAGGTTTCTAAAATATTTTTTTGAATTAAAATAGTATATTGTGCAACAAGTACAGAAAATATTTTTTTATGTATTGAATATTTTTATAATTAAAAAATTTAACTATAAATAAATTTAAATAAATATACTAAATAATTTTTTAAATAAAAAGTTTGACAGAAAAATATTTTTCAAAACAAAAATCTGTAGATTTAATAGTAAAAAAAAGAAATAATTTGTTTTTGGTAAAAAATAATTACTCAATGGATAATATATTGGCAACTATATAATATTATAAATATAAAACGAGGGAGCTTAACGACATTATAAACTATTGAAATAAATAAATAATAAATAATAAATAAAAAAATTTGAATTAGCAGATTGTTACACTATATGTATAGCGTGTAGTGTGCGACTCAATTATATACTGCGGTTTAATCTTTACTGAATGTTCACGGAAGTGGCAAATATGAGTTCCCTTCCTTTTTCTTTTTTCCTTTATTAGTCTCACGAGGTTAAAAAGGAATTTATTCTCTCTCTATATATACTTGAGGTCATCCTATATGTACACTTTTATTTCTATATAAATAATAATATAGTTTTCTTTTGTCTATTTTCAATAATAACATATAAATATTATGCGTGGTAATAAAAACTCAATTATTGACACATAAATAACAAGAAAACAGTTTTCTTTTTCTAATTCAAGTCAATTAAGAATTGAGTTGTAAGATTTGACATTATCGATAATAGTAGCTCAAACAATTATTTGAAGGGATAACAAAAAACAAGGGAAAAGAGATGAAAAACAAAAACATAAAAACAAGCTAATATCTAATGGATAATCTAGGTTCAAAACATATAGAATCTAATATTGTATGTTTTGATAATTATTATTTTAAACTATTTTTTGCTAATTAAGACAATACCAGTAATCACAGTCATTTTTTTCTTTGAAATTGATGAAACAGTGAATTATTTTTTATTTTATTTATTATTATTATTTAATAATAATTATTGTTAGTAGGGGAGGATGGGGCAAGGATAGTTAGGTAAGACCTTTTCGGATCTAGCTGCCAAACTTGAATATGTATCTGCAAACGAAAAGTATTTTTGAAAGCCTGGTTATTTGGCTATAGTTTTGCTATACATTATTTTACTGTAGACTAAAATCCCTACAAGATACGAATAAAAAAGTAAAAAAAAAATTTTTTAACTATCCTTGCCCCAGGACCGGGGCAAGGATAGTTAAAATAATTCGAATGCTAAAAATGTCATAGAAAATCAGTAAATTTTCGTTTTCTTTATTGGATTCAGACTATTCAATATTGATATCTCAATTATTAAAAATATGTATTGAACATTTTCTGAATTTCAATTATTGTATTAAAATTCATCTGAACTAGAATAAGAGGTTTAACCAATTTTCTTCAGACGACCACCAATTTCTTGGTCAATAAGCATCGTTTTCCGTATATAATTACGTACCATTATGTATATCAACCTAAAAAGAACAATTAAACACTTTTTTAAAATTTGCAATGACATTAACAGGATTTTACCGTGCTGTATTATCTCTAACTATCCTTGCCCCGTGAGTCCATATTTCAGTTTTTTCTAAATTTTATGGAACAACGTGAATTAATTTGAAAATAAATACGACATTCGTGTTCAGCAGGAAATTCCACTCCGGAAAACACTTACGTAATTAAATATTCTGAAACTCTAATGTAGAAAACAATATGATAAACATTACGTTGACATTTTATCAAAACAGACTTTTTTCAAAAATCAGTTAAGGTTTTCCGTATAGTTTCCCTTAACTATGGCCAGAAAGGGCTAGGTGAATACGAGTACTTCTAATAAAAGTCTACTACGTACCGCAAATAGGGAGAATTTGGGAAGCTGAGGAAATTTGGAGAATTACATGGGGTTGTTAGATATGTACATGGAAAAAAAGTCCATTAATCATTAATGGATTAGTATATTACTTTGAGACGATACAATTTTTCCGTTGAAGGTTACTTAACTTTACTTAACAATTCAAAAACATCATTGAAGTATTAAAAAAGAGTCATGGAATGATTAGAATGCAGTATGTGACCAGATGTTTTAGATTTAATGTTGAATTGTTATCAATGGATGTTTGAAAGTTACTTATTATTTATTTGATGTCATTTAGGGCCAGTTTCACCAAACTAGTTCAAGCACTGAACTCGTTCAAAGTATGAGTTGAACGAGATCAAGTCTCTGCGTACGTTTCACCATCTACTTAACCACGTTCAACTCGGTTGAACTAAGTTTATATTTTAATAGATGAATTTTGTCGGTTTAAGCAGAGTTGACCGCGTTCAACTTGCCGAACTCTCCCGAAGCGCAGTGCGAACTTTTACGATTTGTTGATTTTCTTAAGGGACTACTATATAAAAAATTGATTAACCTTCAGTGTATTATTTACTTAACAAAATAAGTGGAATCATTATATATACAAAGCATTCTATCCCAAACTGACCCACTATCAAAATAAAACAATATTGCATGTAGATGCTTTGTTTCAACAGATTTAACTTTATTAAATGTAAATTAAATTAAAAGAATGTAAAGAAAGAAGGATTTTCAAAAAAGTATAATAAATCTGACAAATGTTTAGAAATATTCATATAAAAGCCATTACAAATTTTAAATGGTCATTTAATTGACATTCGTATTGAAATTTACAAATCTGATCTACTACCACAATCACAAAATATGTACTATTATGTTATTAAATTAAGAAAATATAAAGAAGGACTTTAATAAAAAAGTTTGGCTCTCTCTGTCTAATTTTGCTTTCAACAAAAAATTTTAATTTTGTAATTTTTGAAATAACTTTTTTCTTTATTAAAATTTTTATTCACTCTTGTCAAAATTGTATTTCTGACATGAAAACGAATCGATTCATGTATATAAAGTATATATTTTATCAATATTTATAAAACTAATCGGACGATATTTTTATTTTGAACAAAAAATTCAAATTTTGTATTTTTTGAAAATTTTTTTAATACTTTAAAATAATTATTCTAGAATAAGAAATTAAGCAATTGGTATATATATATTATATTGTGGAAGCTAAATGATCATGAAAAGAACAACTTGTTTTTTACTCCACTACACATTTTTTATTAAGGTTTTAATTTAAAATAATAGATATTAAGCTTAAAAGAACCTATGCGACATTTATATTTTAGGTTAGTTCAGTTGTTTATTTACATTCCGTGGTTAGATTTAAGCGCCATAACCACTAGGAAATTCTAGGGAATGTAGGTTAACTAAACGCGTTCATTTTAAACTGGGATTAGGCTGGTGAAACGCACTAGCTGTTAACTCTGACGATCAAGAGTTGAACGAGTTCAGTTGAACCAAGTTTAACCGCCAGTTGGTGAAACTGGCCCTTAATGTTTCAAATATTTTTATAACTAAATTTTATAAAACCACGAAATTTATCAAAGACTATACGAGTACAGGAAACTTTAACGCACGTTTACGAATCATTAGTGAAAGTTTGTGAAACGTTAGTTGACTCGTACTCTACTCTACTTTCGCGCATCGTTCCGAGATTCGCATATACGTATTATAATTACTTGTAATTATTTAATTACATAAATATATATATATATATATATATATATATCCCTTCTAGAAATAATTGGTTGAAATCGATTGAAAACAATAGAACAAAAATTTCTATCGATTTGAATTGTGTTTCTTAATTGGGTCGACCCGATTGAAACCGATTCATAAGTTGGTGGTCGCCAATCGTTCCCAATCGTTCTCAATTGAATAATAGGTTTTTGTTAATGCAGTGACAGCACTTTTATCGGCGGGAAAAATTCAAAAATGTTTATTTACCTTTTTCATAATAATACATTTTAGAAATGCATAATTAAAAAAATTAAAGTAAATTAACATTTTGGAAAATTAAAAGTGATATCTGCCACTACATTTGTAATTAATTTTTCAAATTAGAAAAAAATGAAAATCAATATAAATGTAGGTATAAAAATTATATTATATTTAAAAACATATCGATAAATAATTAAGACGCATTTACTGCACACGAATAAATAATGACGGTGAAGAATATAAAAGCTTTATAAAGTGTTTACGAGAAAACATGTTTAAGAATCTTTTGCTAAATCTCCAATGTATCCTAATTTCTCGTCGAAGTTTGCCATTTTGGATGCACCAGGATTCTCAATGTCTAGCTCATCTTCCATCTCATTGTCTGTCTCCTCCTTGTCATCACTTTTGCTTGATGGAAGATTATCCAAATCCGAGTCTAAATCTATGATTTCTTCTTTTAGAATATCAGATGATTCTTCATGATCAACATGATTATTACTCTTTTTTTTCTTTGACTTTTGTTCTGCAAACGTATGAAATGTTCATTGCTTAGAAAATAAATATTTATTAGAAAAATAAATCTAAACAATGTGAGCTTAAAAATGTGTAACTATTGTTATGTTTTGTCAATATCATTAAAAATTAAAAATAACTATTTTCACGACTACATTTCTGGAAATACATTTTATAAATTAAAATATTTTTAGAAATCTGTGTTAGAAAAGTTTTTAAATATTTTTTTTAATTTATCAAAAACGATTTATACAAAAATTTTTCAGATAGTCAAAAAATAATATTTTTGTCTAAGAATTTTTCTGTATCAAATTTTTGATAAGAAATTATAAAAAATTAAAGCAAAATAGTAATATAAATATATACATTTTATATTGTTGATTATAAACTTTAACTTTCTACAATTAAAAGAAACATTACATTTTTATTTAAAACATTTAACTCAAAAAAAAATTAATAAATGAGGAGCAAGTTTTCCAAAGTTGATAAATCCATTTTTTGTTTTTTCGAGAAATTTAAAGAAATGTCATTTTTCACATAACCACTAAAATTAATTTCAAGATAAAAAAATTGTAATTAATTATTTCTGTAGGAATGTTTTTTGAATTTAAAACGTTTTGTATTTAATAAATGTCTATTATTTTAAGGTTAATTAAAGGTTTTGATACTTTTTTCTAAAAAAAAGTGTTGAAAATAAAAATCATGTAGGTTAAGTCCAAATGTTTTTAAATTGAAAATTCTTGGTTTAAAAAATTGTTCTCTTAACTTCAACAGTGACAAATCGATTTGTGAGGTCCTTAATTTGTTAAATCTGTGTTTATCTCAATTTTTTTGGAAAATGGATTTACCAACTTTTGAAAATTTGCTCCACAAATAAATCGGTAAAGATTTTTTACGAGTTCATTTACTTAACATTGCAGTTTTTATTATTTTAAATAAAATATGAATAAATGATTTAAATTATTACCTGATGTCTTGTTTGAGATATATATTTTTTATATTTATGTTAGTTTCAAAAGAAATATGCTTTAATTTAATATTCAGCTTTTATAATAAACCCAACAGGAAAACTTACTTGGAATCAAAGGTCGATTCAAATCTGCAATTTTTGCACCAATGTATTTTTTTACACTTTCCACTTCTATGTCCACAAGTTCATCAGAATAATGCACACAAGTTTCCAACCAGTGTCTTGTTATTTCTAAAATTACAGATCCTTATAAATAATTATAAATATACGTCGAAAATGTGTTGTAAGTTTAAAAAAAACCTTTTTATTTTATGTATTCAGATAGACTATGAAAAATTAATTCTAGAAATTATTTAAGGTTAAAAAAAATTTGAATTAAAAATAAAAAAAAACATTTACTGAAATAATAATAATAATAATAATAATAATAATAATAATAATAATAATAATAATAATAATAATTTAGAAAAATAACTATTAAGGTAGTAGTCGCGCTGCTGGCTCTGGCCAAAAGTTTACCGGGCTGCTTACTAGAGTGGGGCAGTGAGAGTGAGAGAGATAGTTTAACTCCCCACTCTATTCATTTGTATGAAAATTCGTATAATTTAGTTATTTTTTTACCTTTTTATCAATATATTTATAGTTTGGTGCGGTCAAAAAATGTCATGTTTTTTCTATTCGTTTGTTTCATCTAATTGAATACTTTGGTAGTTTTATTTCAAAATCTGACGATTAGTTATCATATAAATATAATTATTAAACAAAATTAATGCATGCATTTGGTGCTCCCTCCATGCAAAATGTATGAACTTTGAATTCATTTTTTGAAGCTTTGAAACGGTCAAAATTAATTAAATTGGTCTCATTCTGTAGATAAATACTTCAGGAATAAGTATGCAAAATTTGAAAAAAATCTGACGAAAACCATTTTACGCGACTAATACCTTAAAGTTTAAAGTTTAATTTAAAAAAATTACAAAACTACAAAAAAATTCTTACGAAATCTACTTGAAATTAATGTTATGAAATTATTATTATTATATTAGTATACTTCCTTTTAATTTTTACTGATTCATTTTGTAGAGTATATTATTTAATTTGAAAAACTAATAAATTATATAAAGAAAAAAAGTAAATATACCTTTGATGCTTAAAACTTTAGTTGCATCCAATTTTTTTGGATTCCTCGGAGATTTTTTTTGCCTGTTACTAGGTTTTCCTGTGAGTGTAGATTCTTTAAGTTCTTCAGGTGTGAATAGCATGTCACACATCATTTTTACAAAAAGAGAGGGTGAGTCTGCGTTACAAGCTTCATTGTACTTTACTTTTGGCAGCCAAATTCCTTTACCAAGATGGATCTAACAGAAAATATTTTATTAAATCAATAAAACTATAATATGTAATTGATGTTTTGAATTTGACTTAAAAATTTACGTGATCATCTGACGCTCGCAAAAATCCAGAAGGAGGATATGGAGAACGGAGAGTGGTAGAGTTATTGTCCTTGAGCAACGTTGCTAAAATAAAATTTTATATTTTCTTAGAGTCAATAAAAGCTAAAATAAGAATAGATAATTATATTTTAAATACGTGTAAATATAAAATTCCCACTTTCTAACACATTTTTTACCATTTGGATTTAATTTTTAGTATTTTATTATTTCATTTACCTTAATCTCAGAAGGAGCTTAGAATAATTTTAATAATAACAGGGTGTCTAGCAATTTGCAGTTCCAAATTACCGTGTTTTCTCCCGGGTTTTGAAGTGATTTTCCCGGACAATTTTAAACTAAGTTAATAAGGGTTTAATAAAGTGTAATTTTTTTAACTATATAAAAATGTATTTAAATAAACATTTGATTTCAAGAAACTTTTTCTTATTCTTCCGAATGGTAAACAAATTTTTTCAAAAAATTAAAAATTTTGACATTTTTAAGAAACAAAAAATATTATTAACTTTTTTTAAAAAGCAGCATCATTTTGAAAAAATTTTTTTTATTTTAATAAACACTATCAAAAAAATCTGCGCGGATTTCTACGCAGAATTCTCGTGTAGATATGGTAAATTCTTGAGGATTTGATTTTTTTTTCATTTTTCTAGAGTAATCCTCGAGTTTTTTTTTCATTTTAACAATTTTTCTTGAGGAATCCTCAAGGATTATTTGTTTCATTTTCTGAATTTTTTTTAGAGAAATCCCTAAGGATTTTTTTTACTCTATCAATTTTCATTAAAGATTTTTTTGCATTTTATTAAGTATCCTCGAGAAATCCTTAAAAAAAATTTTCATTCTATTAATTGTTATTGAGGAATCCTGGAGGATTTTGTTTCATTTTATCAAATTTCCTCGAGAAATTCTCAAGGATTTTTTATATTTTTTAAATTTTCCTCAAAAATTTCTCGAAGATTTTTTTATTTTTAAACTATTTTCCACAAGCAGTAATAAAAATTCCTTGACAAAAATTAATAAAAATTAATTAATTAATAAAAAAAATCCTCGAGGAAATTAATAAAATAAAAAAAATCCTCGGACATTTCTCGAGGAAATTTGATAAAATTAAAAAAATAATCCTTGAGGATTTACCTAAATCTACAAGAGGATTCCGTGACGGTTTTTTTGATAGGAAATCTTAAAAGAATACCTTCAACAAAAACTTCACTAAAAAAACAAAAAAACAAACAAAAAATACTGATTTTGGAAAGAAGTCAAAAACATGTTTAATTTTAAACAAAGTGTCGAAAAGGGTTAAAAAATATAGTTTCTTAAGCAATATCAAAAATACCTCAAAAAATAGAAAATTCACGGATTTGAAGAAAAATTCCCGCGTTTTTCCTGATTTTCCGAGTCGCTAGACACCCTGGATAAGGTAAAAGAATTTTTAATTTACTCTCTTTGAGTAAAAAATAACTTTTGTTTATTACGATATGTATACCTTGAAATTCGTCGCCTTTTTGCTGCAATTTCTCATTTAACTCTTTGATATTTTCATTTAAATGTTGTATCTCAATGCGTTGTTCTTCTACTATTCTCAACTGTTGCTCCAAAAGCTTAGTTACATTGTTAACTGTTTGTTCGTTATTAAAAATTCGTAAATTGCAAGATAAATTATTGCAAACTACATTTGCGTCCGCTGTCAGAATTTCGTTTCCAATAGAAAAATTAGTTTCTTGAGGAATAAAGTCACTCACATCCATTAATGGAGACATGAGAACTGGTTCCTTGATTGTTTGTGGTATGGACGAGCTATGATCAATCTTTGATTTTTCAACAGAGGTTTTTCTTGACGGTAATTGGTCATTTTGATTTTCGGAACTTGAGGACGGGTTTCCTGAATCAATATTTTTTGGTTTTGAACGCAATTCGTCTTGTTTATCAGCAATTTGCTTTTTAATTTCCGAGGTTTTTTTTGACGGTAATTGGTCATTTTGATTTTTGGAACTTGAGGACGGGCTTCCTAAATCAATGATATTTTGCTTTGAACGCAGTGCATTTTGTTTATCAGCAATTTGCTTTTTAATTTCCGCAGCTCTGGCAGCTTGAGCACTTTTCTATTAAGTGAAAGAAAACATAATAAATAAAACAGGCAATATATTTACAATTATTGATATTTTTCAATATAAAAATAATTTGCCTAAACAATATAAATCCTATCCTGTAATGTAATTGAAACATAAAAAAATTAATATAGTTAGAAAAAGTGAAAAAATGTTATAAACATAATACTGCATTTGGGTGATTCTCCAAAAAAACTCCTTTTTACAAGTATGAAAAAAGAAAAAACAAAATTAATTATTTAAGCTTCAAAACATTAAGTAATATTAAGCTTTGAAAAATTTAACGTCTCTGTAACTTCATCATGCTTATTTTTATCTTTTAAGGGGTCGTGCGCATACCACGTGGACATTTTTGGGGGAAGGGGGGTTCATCAAAAGTTCACGATTGTCCACGAGGGGGGAGGGGGGTGGTCAAAAAGTCATTAAAAATTGTTCACGTGGTATGTGCACGACTCCAATTGAAGAAAAGATTTAAAATCAAAATTCACAGAAAAATAATAGCTTAAAAATGATTGCAGGTACTTTTTTTCGAATAAAGAACAAACTTCACGTGATTTTAATTTGAATAAAATATCAAAATAATCAAATTTTTTCAATTTAAAAAATAAGGCCAGTTTAAATTAACAAGTAATTGATTTTTTTTATTTCGAAACACTAACCAGAATAAATTTTTTTTAATCATAAAAAATTACTTTAAAAATTTTTAAATTGACTTTTCACTAACAGTTTGTAAACAATCGACAATCAATATTAATTTTTAATTTTTATTCAGAGGAATAACGGAAATGATGATTTCAACATTTTTTAATTTCATCTAATTATCAAATAATTTTTCTCACACTTGGAATGCCCTATCATGTTTGTAAAAGAGAAATTTATGCTTACAAAAATGCGATCAATTTTTAGGGTGTTAAATTAATAAAAATCTGATTAAACAATAACATTGTACAACTTTTCCATGCACGATGTTTAGAAAAAATAATAATAATTAAATATGACTTGATATTTTCTTAAATGGTTATAATTATTTAGAAAATCTTGAGGACGTACGAAATCAGTTTTTTTGGAAATTAGTCGCTCATTTATAAAATAAGACATTGTTAAGTATGTCTTTCTTTCTATTTAATTACCTTAAATTTGCCACTAGTTGAAGGTGCTTCCGACGATGAGGATGCTGAATCCAAAAGTTTATTATTGAATCGTGGTCTACTATTTGCTACAATTCTTTGTAGTACTCCTAGGTTGTCTAGAATAGGATTTTCATTCATTGTTTACATATATCTCCAAAATACATTTTTCTTAATTTTTATTTTAATATAGTTTTTATGCAATACCGGAAATCATATTATCTCCTCTTTTTTATATCTATGTAAAATAACTTACACAGAATACCGTCATTTTTAAGTTTGTGACAAAAGGGGTCGATTTGTTCGTTTTTTTAACACAAAAAATGCAAATTAAGTACAAAATAATTTAAGTATTCGAAAACGTATCATACAATATTCTAAAGGTTACCAGCTAGTACCGTTATAGAATTTTTTACAATTCTTTAAATTCAATTTTTATCGAATATTTTTTGTTTAAAAATATAATACTTGAAATAAAAAATAAAAAAACTATACTTATTTAAACTTACTTTATCTCTCAAGAAATGCAGGTGACAGAATTTAGAGATAAAAAATTTAGAAAAATTAAAAGTGACTTTTATGAAATGAAAAACCTTGTTTGTTAAAAAACACATTTAAATAATTAAAAATTTTTTCAGTTCCTTCGAGGTAATTTAGTATTTACAAATTTTAGACACTTTTTGGTTTTTACATAGTTAAAAAAGACGAGGTTCTACAATTTCCTATGATACTATATAACTTTTATAATACTATAATTATTGTTAATTTCTAAAACATTTCAATATTGTTTACATACGTATTGAATGTATAGATAAAAATATTTATACTTTACCTGCAGCGAATAATATAGCAACATTATCAAAAATGTTTTCTGTACCAACAACTTTATATTTCTTCTTTTTATTTACTGAATCAGCATTTTCTACCATTGGAGGCTTTTTAAAATCAGCATCTGTGAGAAACCTTTTTGTACCTCTTCTACTTCCACTTAAATATTGCACGTAAAAAAACATTATGTATTTGTCGAATTTTTAATACAAACAAATCGTCCCCAGAATTTGGCGTATTATTTTCACATTTGTGCTGATTCAAGATTCAAGTAGAAAAAGAGTTTCTACTTGTGATTTCCGAAAAAAAACCGAAAATTGTTTTACATACTATACGCGCGTATATAATCACAATATTGACATATATTTTTATTGTGAAAACGTGCATCGACTTGTTCGGCAAAAGTATACCTTGAAATTCTGAAGTCTACAGAAAAAAATTTCAAAATATGAAATCACAGGTAAGTAAACGTAAGAAATAGTACTTATTTTTTGTACAACTTTTTAAACCACAAAAACATTCACAGTTTCGAATTTTTTCTATGATGCCGGTTTTGCACGTGCACTATTGTCGGTGGCAGAAAATAATAAAAGATTTGAGTAATGCGCATGTCGAAACATTTGAAAACTAAGCAGGGGCGGCGATACTCCACACACAAAGCTTATTTATGCGTGAATTTCCGCAGTCAAAAATTTCGATTAGAATTTTCTTTTGTAGTAAGTAGCTAAAATAACAGAAATTTATAAATTAATATTGCAACTTTTATATTACTTAATACTGCAATTTTTTCATATTTATTCTTCTTGACGTTCTGTAATATAATAAATGAACACTTGACACAGGTTTGTTTTGACACCCCTGAAAGTTAGTGTATCTTTACAGACCAATTTTGATTGGTCATTTAGTAGGTTACTAGTGGAACGGACCAATCAAATAAATTGCACAGAAGTTGAGAAACTGTATCAAAGCATTTACATAAATATACGTAATATGTATACAAAATTTATACGTTGAATGTGGTTGAAATGTATAAAGAAATTTGCTGATCGTTATCGAAAGTGATATTGAATTTATTCTCAATAATTATAATAAAAAGTTTGATAAATAAATCGTAAGTATATTTTTTAATTTGTTGACAAAAATAAGTTGACAGTGTAGTTGTTTTTTATATAAATATCACACCTAACCTTAAAAAGTATTCATATTTATACTTTCGATTACACCTGAATGTATTCATGTCATTATAATTTTTAATATAAATAAATTAATAATAATGTATTTCTAAATTTTAAATATTACGTATGTCATTTAAAATGTCTTATTTCATTTAGATATTAATGTGATAAATTTAACCTCAAAAAGTATGTATATATTTTTACATCAACAAATATAACTGCAAAATGTGTTTATATTATACTATGTTGTATTATTTATTAAGTTTCTTGTGTATTATTACAATTTTTTTAGAATTTTAATGTCAGATTTTAATAAAAAATTTTTGACTATATAGTATTTTTTTTAAAAATAGATAAATTATAATTAGCACTTTTTATGTTTAATAACATTTTTATTTCTAATTATTAATGCCACAATAAAAATTTTACTTGCCAATAATTGAAAAGTGGTAAATTTAAATATACAAAATAAGGTAAATTTAGATTTATTTTTCAGTATAATTAATTAATATGAAAGACCTTTTAATTGTTATGCAAATAAAAAATTGTAATCTAAAATGTTTTTATAATCATGTAGCATTTGATTTTGTCACTTGTATTCATTGCTAAGAAAATATTATGAAATGAATTTGATTTTTAGTATAGCAGAAAAAATGGATGAAGATAAGGAAGATGGAAAAAGAAAAACCTACCGAAAATTTATACGACCGAATTATAAACCAAGTATGGTTTCTGCTCAAACTGATGCGATTTGGAGGCAACGTGCCATAGCTTTAGAAAGATCAACGCAATCTACTTCAAATAGAATAGGTAATTATTATTCCTATTATTACATTAAAGAGTCTAATGAAATTAAATGATTTTACATTATTAAATTTAAAAAAATTCTGTATAAAAAGTGTATTCAAAATTCTGTAAAAAATAATTATCTGAAAAACTAAAGATCGAAAAATATTTCAAGTCTTTTAGAGTGAATAAAATTTTGCAAAATTCCATTGAAAAATTTAAAGATAGTTGAAGTTTTTAAAGAATTCAATTTGATTTTCGGTACACTGTTTTAAATTAAATAAAATATTCCATGTTGAACTTCATTTTTTTAGTTGTACAACGTGAGTCCAGTGATGATCTACATGAATCGGACCTGCAATCAGCTTCTTCAACAAGCTCCAATGAAATGTCTATAGGTGAAAATTCGACTAATGACGTACCTAGAGACGAAGAAATGCGGATGGAAACGAACCAAGATTTTGATCAAGAATTGAACGAGGATTCAGCCCCAGGATCTAACGCACCAAGTGAGGGCTCAGGTAGCGAAGATTCTGATATTGAATTTCTCGACAACGAAGTGAACGGTAATGAAAATCCAAATTACACATATCCCTGGGAAAACAGAATTATGTTCCCACAATCTAACTTAACAGTCAGAGATGTGGTAGCAATGACCAGAGGATTCAGTCTACGATTTGGACTCTCATTAGAAGCGCGTTTAGAGTTAACAAATTTACTAAAGTTGTGTGCAGGTCCTGAGTTTGACAGTCTGAATTTGTCAAATTATAAAATGACTCGCATGTTTGAAGCTCCTGAAAAAACATTAACATTTTCTTTTTACTGTCCAGCTTGTAAAAAAGTATTAATTTCCCAACAGAACAAAAAATCACAAGTAAACCCCGAAGGACTGTGCGACAAATGTGGGTCGCGATGTAATTTGTCTACCAAAAAAGGGAAATACATGTTAATGGTGGATTTAAAATATCAAATAGAGCAATTGTTTAAACTTCGTGATGTACAAACTTTTTTAATTGACAGATATAGGCAAAACCCTGAAAATGATGGTAGCATTAGAGATGTTCAAGACGGAAGCTTATATAAATCGAATAATCCCACAAATTCTAAAAACGTTCTGACGCTTAATGTATTCTTTGATGGAGCAATCATGAAACGAAGTGGTAATGAAAGCTTTTGGGCTATTTTGGCATCTATAAACGAATTGCCAATCTCGTTACGTTTTAAATACATTATGCTAGGAGGAATTATGATGGTTGATAAAGAACCTGACCCGGATTTAATGAATTCTTTTTCAGAAGAATTTTTAAATGTGATTGATATTTTGCGTACGCAAGGTGTTGATTTGTTGGTAGGAAATCTTCGTATAAATTTCCTTATAAATCTTTTGTTTATAGTAGTTGACTCAGTTGCTAGGCCCATATTACAGTGTCGATGTCAATATAACTCATACTGGGGATGCAGTTACTGTTACCAAATGGGCTTTTACATTCATATAATTAAATATCCCTTTGACCCTGATTTTCTTCTTAGATCGCAAGAGTCTCATAAGCAGGATATTGATGATGTTAAAGAACGCCAACAAAATATGACACACAGAATGAACGAAAGGAATAAACGCCGTACTTTTGTCCGTGGAGTTAAAGGTTCTTCTAGTTTCATGAATTCCAATCAACGCGTTGATATGGTTTGGAGCTTTTCATTTGAGTATTTACATGCCGTTCTTTTAGGATCAGTTAAGCATCTATGGGAAATATGGACTGCAAATGGTTTCTTGTTTAAAGGCGATGTAGAAAACATTAACAAATTAATTAGTTGCATTGAAATGGTTTCGGAAATTCATCGAGTTGCGCGAGAATTCAATTTTAAGTCAAAGTGGAAAGCATCTGAGTGGAGATCATGGTTATTGTTCTTTGGGGTGCCCTGTTTAAGAAAGTATCTACCTTCCGAATGCCTTCAGCACTTCTCATTGCTAGTCAATACCATTTTTACATTATTGAAAACGAAAATTACCGAAGAAGAGTTACTTCAATGCGAACTCGATATAATAGAATTCGTCGGAGAGTTTGAGAATCTATATGGTCAAGAAAATATGACCTTTAATGTACATCTTTTGCTCCACATAGTTGAATGTATTCGACGTTGCGGCCCACTGTGGGCAACTTCGGCTTTTTGCTTTGAAAGTCATTTGCACGTGCTCAAGCAGTATGCACTAGGCCCTAAAAAACCAGAGCAACAAATGGCTACAAAATCTTTAGACATTCTTCAATATAAATTTGAAGTATCAAGAACTATTTTTCATTCCGAAATTGCCAGATTGTATTGCCAAAGAATATTTTCTTCTGCTTTGTTATCAACTTATGTTTCAGAAAGTACCTATGGTGTAACTTTCTGTGGAAATAGTTCACCCGTTCAAATTACAAATCCTGTCACTAATGAAATTATTGCAGGAGAATCTTTTAAAAAATGTATTTACAAAGGTTGCGTGTATAAAAGCGTAAAGAATACACTCTCGGAAAAAAGGAATGATACTGTTTTCAAATTAAAATCAGGTGGTGTTATTCAAGTTCAAGATATTGTGAGAACTGATAACTCCTGCTTTTTGTCAGTAATCAACCTAAATATTGTTGGCGACGAATTAGTGCGACATTTGTTTAGAGTAGTAGAAAGAGGTAATGTAGAAATATTAATCTCCATAACTGATGTCATCGAAAAGTTGATATTCATCGAATGTGATGAAACTAGTTATGTCTGCCAATTACCTCAGACTATCGAAATACAGTAGAGTATACCAACAAACGAGTAAAATGCATAACTGTACATCGAAATTTTAATTGATTTTTTTTTAATCTGATGTCCAATATAAAATATATGCCTATATGTAATTTATCTGCCTATTGTAAATATTAGGAAAAAAATTATTATCGTTCAAATGGATTATTTATTTTTGTAATGAACATTAGAAAATAAATGGTATATAAAATGACGCTAATACACTGTTTTTAATAATTTTATAACACCAATTGTCAAATTTTAAAACCAAAAATTTAAAAAGTTACTTTTATACAAATAAAAATTGTTTTTCATTTCATATAATATCAATTTTTCAATTAAATTTTTATTCAAGAAAAAATTTAAAAATTATACCTTTTTTTAATATTAATTTTCTATCAAATTCACTTAAATTTTTTTTTCAAATTAGAAAATATAAAAACTTTATTAACGATACTGAATAAGTATTGCAAAAACAAAATTTCAACGTTAAAATTTTTCAAAAGCAGAAAAATTGATATGTGTTAAAAGATATTTATAAAACAAAAATTTTTATTCAGATTACCTTATTTATGAATATTTCAATAATTATTAATAATAATAATTAATTATAATTAAAAATAAAAATAAAGTATTTTAATAAAAATATTCTAAGTTCGAATTCAAGCTCTTTGCGCTTGCGCCAACAATTAAAACCAATTGAGATAAAGTTTAACTTATTCATACAATTGAAAACAATTGAAACCGATTCATAAAAATTATAATCGATTGAAAACAATTGAAAACAATTGAACAAAATTTTTAAATGAATTGTTTTAAATTGTGAGCAACCGATTATTTCTAGAAGGGATATTATATATATATATTATATTATTTAATTACATTATTTTATTTTTTTTTATTTTTAATATTTTAATACCAGAAAAAATAATTCAGTTATTTTAATTCTTAAGTTTTTAAATTCTTAACTTGTTAGTTAATAACTTCAAAGTAAAAGTGTTTATATTAACGGTCCAACTTTTCACATGAATAAGTTATAGTCTCTGTATAATATTTTACATTGTGTTACGTTGAAAGATTTCAAATAAGTTGAAGATTAAAAAGATTAAAATTTTTTGGTATACCTACAAATAAAAAAATACCCTGACAAAGAAACAAAAAATTTATTTTCATTTCCCACTTCTTAAATCAAGTTATTGTAAACCAGCTTGGTTATAGACTTTTTTCTATTTTAATTCAAACTAGCGACATATACCTCACTCGCTAACGCTCGTTCGGTTGTATTTAAACTTATTTGTTTTTACTTATTTATTTTTATTTATTTGAACTAAGTAAATATTTACTGGACGCAAATATTTTAATTTATGGTATCAAATAAATAATTATTTGAACCAAATACAAATTACTTAAGTCAATTAAATGGAATAATTTTATCGCTGGGTTAGTGGACAAAAAGGACACCTCGAATTTTGGTTCAAAAAGAGGACACCTCGCTTTTTAGTTGAAGAAAAGGACACCTGGAAAATATTAATTTTAAATGCATTTTTGTTTGACGATAATATCGTTTTCTCCAAGTGGAATGTACGTATGTTTAAAGAACATTTTAGAAGTTACGTATCTTCCAGGTTCAGTGAAGAAACCACGTATCTTTCTGTTCCGTGCAAAAACTACGTATCTCTGTCAGTCGCTTTAAAAACTTCTAATAATATTCTAATATTTTTAAGAAAAAAAATTAAATTATTTTAAAAAATATATATTTTATTGCATCAACTTTTGAAAAAATTATTACTTCATAACAAAATATTAACTTCAAAATAATAATAATAATAAAAATAATAATAATAATAATAATAAAATGTAGATCTTCTAAAGTGACTGACAGAGATACATAGTTTTTGCACGGAACAGAAAGATACGTGGTTTCTTCACTGAACGTGGAAGATACGTAACTTCTAAAATGTTCTTTAAACATACGTACATTCCACTTGGAGTGAACGAGATGTGTAAAGTAATTGACTTATGATATTTTGTGCTCAAAAAACTATGAAGATAATATGTTCTTAAATCTTCTATTACAAAAAACAATTACATTACACATAGTATCGCCTAGTGATGCATAACGAGACTTTGTCCTTTCATAAAAGGAAAGAGATGAAACTGTAACATTCAATTGTTTTCATTGTATTTTTCGCGAGATTCTCGATATTCGCTCGTAATGCATCACTACTAGTATCGCCAAACGAAAGTTGATGTAAAATGAATATTTTCGACGTGTCCTTTTTTTCAACTAAAATGCGAGGTGTCCTCTTTTTCAACCAAAATTCGAGGTGTCCTTTTTTTCGACTAACTCATCGAAATGAAGGGAATATTACATTTCATATTCGGAATATTCTAGTGGAATGTTCCAGGGATCTTAAAGTAATATTAAAATGTCCGCCCCACAGGAATATTCCAAAATAACATTGAGGGAATGTTCCACGGTAATTTCGAAGTAATATTCCAGGATGATGTTGAGGCAATGTTCCACCGTCATATTAATGGAATATTCCAAGGTAATGTTGAATGAATATTAAGGGAATATTCCCAGAATATTCCCTGAAAATATTCCAAAATTTCATACTTTGAAAAAATTTGACTTTTTTCTCTTTATCTTCTTTCTTTAGTAAAAACGATTTTCAATGGTATTTTCAACATATTTAATATTATCTAGGAACATTCCCTCAACATCACCCTGGAATATTCCATTAATATTACGGTGGAACATTCCTTCAACATCATCCTGGAATATTACTTCGATATAATCGTGGAACATTCCCTAAATGTTATCTTGGAATATTCCTGTGCAGCGGACATTTTAATATTACTTCCCCAGTAGCACGTAATATTACAGCGATATTGAGAACATTGCCTTAACATTACCAATATTGCCTCAATGTCGTGGCATATTGCTGGAATGTTCCCAATATTACGTGCTACTGGGGTTTAAGATTTCTGGAACGTTCCACTGGAATATTCCGAATATGAAATGCAATATTCCCTTAAATTTAAGGTTATATTCCGTGATACTTGGGTACTTTGTAATTTGATAGTGTTTAGGGTCCTAAATAAGTGTGCCAAAAAGTTTTACAAAATTTTTAATATTTTGCAAGATATTTGCAAGGGTGCGTTCATAAATGATGTCACGTTTTTTGGGGGAGGGTGGAGGGTCTCTACTAAACGTGACACAATGTATTTTTACATGTGAAATTGCATGAGATTTGTTTGACAGGGGGAGGGGGGGAGTTATAAAATCCCGAAAAATTGCGTGACATCATTTGTAAACGCTCTTCAATCAAATAATTTCAACACTTTTTTTCAGGAATTTTTATCTCGTAAACTATATAAAAATGCTATTTTATTAATTTTTTTGAGAAATGTTTTTTTGAAATTTTTACTGCACTATTCTTACGCACGTCACCGTCACCAATATTGTTACAATATATATTGTAACAATATTGTTACGACAAATTTGTCTAGACTTTGGGTTTTTGCAAGTCTAGACAATATTGTTATATAATAATATAAATTTTTCTTTCTAAACTAGAGCTTGAACATTTACAAAATTAAAACCTTATAGTGGTTAGAAAATGTAAAAAATTATTAATATTTATAAAAATATAAATTATTTTATTTAAAATCATTGTGTAATAACACAAAAATTATGAAGTGACATTTTAAAAAATTGTCATTGTACATTATACGAAATGTTATTTTTACGTATTCTCTTATAAATCTTTCATTTTCGTCCGCTATCCTGGATTCGCCATTTTGTATTTTTAAAAAGTGACTTTGGATTCATAATCAGTGGAATTTTACTGAAAATCAGTTGAAAAGTACTAAAATATCAGTCATTCTTCACTGATTGTTATTTTATTGTGATTTATTTATTATTGTAAATTTCTGTCAAACAAATAATTTTACTAAAAGTCAGTTAAAAATTACACTTACAGAAATATAAGTCATTTTTCACTGATTATCCATTTAAAAAATTATTGTTGATTTCTGTCAAACAAATAAACCCAAGTGCGAAATGCCAAGACTGCAAAAACGGCCCATAATTGGTCTAGTAATGTCTGCCGAGAATTGGCAGTAGTTACTGGGCCATTACTGGTGTTCAAAACGTCCCATTGATGGGCCAATGATGGCGCCGATGGTCAGATTTTCAAATTTTTTAAGACTGGGCCAGCTCTCGGCCCAATAGTAGCACATTCATGGCAAAGTTGATCAATCTTTAATGGCAAAAAGCAATTGCCAGTGATGTGCCGACCATCGGCCCATTAATGGCACTTTAATGGCAAAAATTTTGTATCTTTGATGGCAAATTATAATTGTCAGAATTGGGGCGTAGCTTGGCCCAATAACGGCACATTATTGGCAAAGTAGATAAATCTTTAAAGGAAAAATTCAATTGCCAGTGATGTGACGAAGATCAGCCCATTAATGATACATTAGTGGAACTTTAATGGCAAACATTTTGTATCTTTGATGACAAATTGTAATTTCCAGAATTCGGGCGTAGCTTGGCTCAATAATGGCACAATATTGGCAAAGTTGATCAATCTTTAATGACAAAAGACAATTGCCAATGATGTGACAAAGATCGGCCCATTAAAGGCACATTAGTGGCACTTTAATGGCAAAAATTTTGTATCTTTGAAGGCAAATTATGATTACCAGTATTGGGGCGTAGCTTGGTTCAATAATGGCACATTCATGGCAAAGTTGATCAATCTTTAATAGCAATATTCAATTGCCAGTGATGTGACGAAGATCGGCCTATTAATGGCACATTAGTGGCACTTTAATGGAAAACATTTTGTGGCAAATTATAATTGCCAGAATTGGGACGTACCTTGGCTCAGGAATGCCATATTAATGTCTATCATTTTGTATCTATGATGGTAAATTATAATTGTCAATATTGGGACGTAGCTCGGCCCAATAATGGCACAGTATCGGCCAGTGTAGTGTAGCTTATAAGAACCCTTTTGCTTCCTCGACTTCACGTCAGAGTAGCAGAGTGGTCAGAGTGTTAGGCTGTGGTGCGTCAGG